CTATCAGGTTACTACTAAAGCTAATTACTAAAACTGCTACCCCCTCTTACCCGCCTAACCCCTCTAAACACAGCTACGAACAGGCCATGATCACAAGAAGATCTATGCCGCCATGTCCCAGGCCTCTTGTTGGGTGGGAAAGTGGGTGGCAGTAGCGGGCATGTCTGGTCAGCTCATGTGATTATTTGATGTTGATGAAGAAATCGGTTTGGGATGAAGGCGCTGATGAAGGCAGCTGTAATTGTTTGTCTGTCTATCTGTCTGTCAGTCTATCTATATATCTATCTTTCTTATCTATCGATAGGTACGGGAGAAGGGCAACTGTTATCTAGGTGCAGCAGTGGGTGGGCGGTCTTGGGGTGGTCCACCTTTTCTCCTCGAGGATGGAAGCTTCCATCCATCGGTGGGTCTTGCAGAGTCGGGCGATTCACACGAAAGCAGTCATGGCCATTGTGGTGCAGGGTGTATATAGTGTCACATGTACGATAGATACCAACCTGCATGTTCGTTCACGGTGATCAAGGGTGTATGTAGCTCCGTCGGCTCATGTTTCAACAGAAACCCAAACAACTAAGGAAGGAGCACTTGGCGGTCACAAGCAGGACGAGCTCCTGGGCTCGCCAAAGACCACCTCCCGCAAAGCAGAACACGGTTCCCTCCTGCGAGGGCTCCAAGTACCGAAGAGACCTGTACTTAGACCATGCTGTTCGACCCCCACCCCAGTCTCAGTCCCCAGGTCCCACCATTCAAGACGAAGGTAGTTGGACCGGACCCACCCCCCCTCTCCTCTTCGCCTCTTGGCGCCTCTTCCTTCGCGCCAAGAACGACTGCAGGCGGCCACGAACGCCGAGACCGGTGGCCGACCCACGGTGATCTTAGCGACTTGGGCGGACCGAAGCGCGCGCAGTTGGGCCGGTCGCGTCTATGCGGCGGGTGTGGAGCTGAAGGGCGTCGGACTGGGTGAGGAAGTTGCAAGTGGGAAAGAGATGTGTTGTTCATGAAGAGGTTCCCACATGTTCCCACACTCTTGAGTTCTTAGATCAAAAGATCAATGATAGACTGAGAGACCTGTTGTTCGAAAGAGAGATAGATTGGTGATCTGTCATTGATTATGTGAAGCTCGAAGTCCCATTGGCCTTCACTGATGTACTGGTCTTGGATGTCCATCTCTCAACCTGTAGTGTGTCAAGATGTCTACTGACCTTCGCTTCATCCTTCCCTATCTTCCATCCATTTCACGAAGCGTCCGACCAACCCGGTACCCGGTCTTCGAGGCGAAGACGTTGAAGGGCTTCTCCTTGGCGACCTTCCAGGGGCGGAACACCGTGGACCCGCCGAGCTTGGGAGTCCCCGGTGGTTGCACCATCTGTAACCGATAGAAGACCCGGTTTTAGCGGTTCGAGGCGCTGGAAAAGGGGCTCCTCAGGTCCGGTGGACCCAAGATTGGGTTGCAGTTTGAGCACCTGGACCACCTTACCAAAAATTACCAAGCAAGAAAAGATGTGTGGAAGATGATTTCCCTGTAACTGTCCTGTTTGTGTTTGTGTGTTTGTTTGATTGAGGGTGCTCCCTACTGTAGCAGCTGTCTGTGGCACGCCACAGGTCATTTTGAGGGATTATATCCATGTTGGTGGTTTCCTGCAGTGAGAGATACCAAGGGTTTGTGCTTAGCTTGGCTTTGATCAGCGCCCAGATGTTTGGGGGGCCTGCGATATTCGGCGCCCGTCTTCTGCGCCCAGGTGCATCAGCAGAAGAGCTTGAAGGTTGAAGAGGCAGCCAGGGAGATGACGGTGATGAATGTATTGGCTTGTCATAGTTCCAGCGAATCCATGGCGTGGACAAATGGCGATGACTTAGCCAAGCCAGTGGAGCAGCATCATCTTAGGGTTGAAGACATTGCTGGAAAAACCTTCAACAAAACTACGCTCCCTGGCCTTTTGAAGATTTCGAAGGGCTTCATATTCCATGCATTTCCATTTTCTTTCCGGTCCTTTCCTGCTTTTCCGGTCGCCCCGAACCACCGGGCCGCTGCTGTAAGCTCCGCTCCGCCCGCGGCACGTCGGGCAGATGCTGAGCTTCAGAGACGTCTTGGAGATCCCGTTGACGGATGAGCAGATCAAGAACCCTGAGGCGTCGCACCCGGCGCAACCCACGAGTCGCCTCGCTTTTTGGGACGGGTGATGTGGGCATTGGAGGCGATTTCAGGTGGTGAAGCAGCTGCTAGCAGCTTTGAGTGAAGCACATGGAAGGAGCGAAGATGGAATGTACTTCCATTTGTATACAATGTGTATGTTCTTTCTGAATCATGATGCAATCATGGTGTTTGAGTACGTACATGTTCAGAAGAGAGCGTCTTTGCGACATGGGCACTCTTTCTCGATCTGTGCCCAAATCAACACCTTTGCACTTTGGGCCCACCATTATAGAACGCCCGAGAACAAAACCGCGCGAGACCAGTCTTCCACATAGATCTGGACCACTGGACCACTTCGGACCGGGCACTTCGGCCACCTCGGCAACGCGTCGCTTCTCCCCCACGTCCAGCGGCACCAGGGCGGCGAGTTCTTCCGCAAGCCCGGCAGCGACTCGCCGGAGGCGCCGGGGAGACGGAGACCGCGTGGGACGCGGGGCGAAGCACCGCGCGGGTACCGGGAGGACGTGCGCAACGTGCGGAAAGCGAGGCTTTTCGGTTTGGCCATGCTTTTTTCGCACTTCGAAAGGATGCAGCATATTTCCGGGAAGCGCGAGCTGGAGGGAGAGGCAACTGAATGGTACCTCGGAAGAGTACAGACCCTGGCCCTGAGCTGCGCTGAATCCTCTTTCCAGCCAAAGTTGCCATCCATTTTCGAGGTGCAATACATCATGAAGAACCGCGAGAAGTTGGGAGGATATCTTCCGCTGCGTACCCCTGCCAAGGCTGGCTGGAACGTTTCTATTGCAGCATATTGCAGCCTCAGGCACTCCGGATTTTTAGATTATACATGATTATACCCACATGCTTACATGATTCGGAATTGTAATTACAAAAAATAGTAACACATATGCGTCTCCCATGGTAACAGGCTAGTTGATGTGACCTCATGTGAACCCCTCGCATGTTTCTCTATTCGCAAGGGACGCTAAGTAACTAAACTGCGATCAGGCCCCTGTGGGTCTCCGGGAACAATTCACGTCCAAGCTTCCAAGGGAGAGATGAAGAAGGGCTCAAAGATGGCCCCAACTGGAGCAGCTCCAAGGGAGGTCCCTGACATTTCCCACTTGAAGCAAAAAGAGGTCACATCTGGAGGCCATGAACGGGACATCGACCGGTGGGACTCTCTACTCACCGGTACAGTATCGATTGGAGGATCGATCCTCCCAACCGCTGCCGTTTGCCGGCCGCTCGAGGTGAGCGGTTTGATCGACCTGCCGCCGGCGGAGCTCTACAACCTGCCGCTGGGCGGCGGTCCGCGGTCCGTGGAGCCGGTGAGAAGAGCAAGAGTGGTCGGTCCGCGCGCGACAAGGAGCCAGCTATAAACCCTGAGAGTCAGACTCGGTCCTTAAAGGATTGGTCTTAGAAGGGAATGAACTCACTGGGACAAAAAGTCTTGAAAGAACGAACTCACTTTAGGCAATTCTTTTGGGGTCATGCATAAGCTATGCCAAGTCTTTGGTGCTTTTTCTATTTTCACCTCATGTCTGGCAGGCCTGCCCTACAAAAATGGTTGGAGACGTCTTTGACGCCCTATAGTTTCCCCAAATGGGCTGGTGAGCTGGTGATGTCTGTTGTTCCCTCTTCCCAGACATCGTGCTTGGACCGTTTTCAGACCGGTCGACTAGCCGAGGTTCGACAAGGGCAATCCGAAGGTGGCGCACCCCCCGGGGGGAGGATAGGTCACCTGTTTTTTCAAGCAGAATGATTACATAATTATATAATATATATATATATATAACAAGCAGATACAAGCAGTATGTTTTTGTTTCTTACATTATGACAAGGTTTTTTTGGTTTGTATTTATGTGCGGGACAGTCCTAGCTGGTGTGCGTGTCTGTGTTGATTTTCCAGCATCAGCATCGCTTGACTTCCCTACTTGCTCGCTGCACGTTTGGGAGAGTGATCCCCAACAGGTTTTCAGGAACCACCCAGCTGATTCACATCCTGAATGCAAAACCAGATATGGGTGTGTATCAAACTAGGGAGACCTCCCAGTTTGACCTCCTGGAAGATTCGTGAAATAGACTCAGTCTACCCATTGGTTGGGTCTCCCTATTAAAACGCACGCTTCGAGCACGGGTGCGGCTATCACCTCTTTTTGTGGGGCTATCAAAGGAGACCCCATGAGACCCCGAAACAGCGCACTGCTAGGTATACATGATTTTGACTGATCATATTGGAACAACCACTTGTTTCCTGCTTCCGTTTCCAGGAACAAAGAGACCCAATATTCACGCTCTCTTTTGTGCCTAGTATTCTGCAGGGGATGTGCCGTGCACATCCCCTGGGCTTCCGGCCGTATCCTCAAATGAATTTACATCGCCACCGTGGTCGTAGGGGCAGTTCAACATAGTTTCTAAAAACCTCTTACCGGTTTTTATCCACCTCGATTTCGGGTTCTCCGGGACCCACTCCTGCAACCGCTGGACTGGCTCGGATTTCCGTAGAGCCGTTGGGCTCAGTGGATCAGATGTCAAGTGGCTGCCCCCCAGCGCCTCAAGCAAGACAATGATCCAGCAGCTGACTGCATCGAAAACAACGGAACAAAGGCATCTCAGACGTGACCACTTTGCCATGTCCAAACTCTGTTTCCTGTGGGTAACAACTGAATGCACTGAAGCAGAGACACAAACACTGCCAGCCTCCAGTGTCACATTGGAACACCCAACACAAAAAGCACCAGGTTGCTTTTCGCACCACCGGTTGTTGCTGCGACGCATCTCCCATCGTTGACTGGGAACTTTGCTTTGCCCCACCGCTCTTTGCATCATTTTCCCGGTGGCGGCGCAAAAAAATCGTAAACACATGGCCTCGCTGGAGGCGCTTTGCAGCTCGCTGGAAGTGGTGAAAACGGGAAGTCCACTGCGTCTACTGCGTCCTGGGTCGGGGGCTTTCCACTTTCATGTTAGTGAGTCGGAGTTGGCTTTGGAGGGTCTGACTGGGATTGGAGGATCCGAGTACTGACCGAGTCTTTAAATGGATAAGTGGTTTGGCCGCTTGCGGCCAAGGGCGGCCAAGGCCAAAGGTGACAGGAGTGCAAGCGACCGTTTACTACAGCCTCACGCAATTGAGACACTCTCAGGTTTCCAGAAGTCTTGGGCGCAGCGCATTTCAATCAAAAGCAAGAGACGCAGTGAACCTCTGAAAAAGAAAAGAAACACATTGGTTTTGACCAAGGTTTCGACGAAAGACCCGCGGCCCACAACTCTTAACAGGGATGTCCAAACCAGCTTTCCCGAATTGCGGGTTCTAGGAACAGCCCCGAAAGGGAGGTGATGGGGGGCGGTGAGTGGGGGGGTGTCCACTTCACCCCACTCTCATGGGCCTGACCAGGAGTCCGTCTGGATTTTCAGTCTGGACCGGCCTTCCGGGTGTTCGGCCTAAGGCCAGGAGTCCTTTTTGAAGGAAGATCCAGGCAGTTCGAGGGCTCTGGACTCTGCTTGATCTGCTTGAAGACGGGGGAACTGGGTGGTGCAATCCAAAAGGCATCCGCCAGCACGCCGCTCCGACCCCGCTCAAGGGGTCCATCGTGCACGGAGATGGGGGAGCCCTTCTCATGGCCCATGGAGCCCCAAAAACATCGGAGGGGTCCACAGGTGGAGCCGGTCCACCATGGAGCGAACGACCTCCCAGGTCCGGTCAACCGGTCGGTCTTCGGGTGCCAGTTCCCCGTCAGCCGAATGAGTCAGCACCTTGGCTCTGCCCACTCCCAGAGTTCGCCCAGTTCTTAGGTCCCCAAGTCCGACAGCGGTCCACCACGTAACATGCTCTGCCGCAGAACGGTCGCACAGGTTCGTTCCGTTCAAAGAGATCCACGGGAGGTGAAAGAAGGGACCAAAGAGAAACGAGAGATCGCAGCAGTTGCTGCCGTACTCTAGAGGTCTGACGGAGCTCATTTCACTTGGTGTGCGGTCATGCAACTATACTCAGTACTCAATGAGCTGGTTCGGACCGGGTTTGGTCCTTGGACTGGTGGAACATGAGTCTGCATTCTCCAACCTCAATCGACCCTTAAGATATCTATGCTAGGACCTACAAGGGGTGGTTAATGGACACCCCTTAACCTCTAAGGGGCTATCAATAGACACCCCTTAGGGTGTCCTGGTGTTTATACTATACTCTGACTCACTATCTCCTTTTTGTTGAACCACCAACGCCCCCGAACAAGGTTGCCCCCCGCATCCTCTCCAAAACAGGGGTCACCAAAACAGTGGCCTGTGCTTTTCTCCCCGGATCCACTCCCCCGGTGCACCGGCCAGGCACCGGTCGCTTGGACCGGAGGCGCTTCCAGGTGGCGCTCCAACGGGTCTTGGGGAGCTTGGCTCTGCCGCAGCCGGACGCCACATGGCATCTCGGAGGGCCAAGCCTTGCCGCGTCCGAGGACGGAGGAAGGGGGCCACGTACGCTATATATGTAACTGCGCAACGGGGTGCGCGTGTTTGAGAAGAAGAAGAGTTGGGTGTGAACCCGTGTGCTGTTTTGGGGAGGGATGACTTGGGATGACTTGCGGAACTGAATCAGTCAAGGGAGAAGCTTTGGACCCTGAATCAGCTGCAAAGTGGCGGCGAGAGACCCGTGGCATGGGTGAGAGACGTCGCAGCCAGTGACCCAGGTTCGATCGCGTCTTCGAGAGCTACGCGCCGAAGTGCGGCGGGAACGGTGTGTCGCTCCGTGCCATGGAAGATGCGGCGAAGCAATTTGTGAACCATCACCAGAAGAAGAGGGAACAGAAGGAACAATCTGCGAAGCAGATCGATGCTTAGCACCAATGATGGACGACGTTGGGTGCTTGCTTGCTTTAGGGTGGCTGGCAGTATGGACAAGCCGTGTTGCTCCCTCCGGCATCCGGTCTGCTGAGAGCACGTGGCTTGTTCCTGTGCGACCATGAGTGACCTCTTGAGTGAGCAACCACCCCAAATATGGCCAAACCATGCCAAACAGCCTTTCAATTTAATTTACTATCAGAAAAGAGGTCACATCTGGGCTCTAAGGCTCTATGTATACTGTGAACTCAGGTGTTAGTGGGGTTTGTCTTGGGATCCTCGGTCATCAGGATGAGCCGGACGATGAGGGAGCATTGGCCACCCACACGGGGTGGCCTTGACATCTCGAATGGTAGAACAGGTCTTTACAGAATGCCAGAATGAGAAGATCAAGCTAATCGAAAAGTAACGCATCATGATACAGTATCATGTGTGTGTGTGTGTGTTTTTCGTAAATATCTATTTACAGAATCACAGAACAGAACCCTGTGAGACTCGCGTGGAGGAAGTGTCAGTGAGTGGGGGGCCCCGGAAACTTTGCCCAAACTCCAGGTGGCTGGAGACTGTTGCGGAGACCTGACCCCTGATCTGTTTGGGCATCATGAAGTGTTTAGAATCCCAAAAGGAGCTCATGAAGCTGACCCAACTGAAGCTGACCCAACTGAAGCTGACCCAACTGAAGCTGACCCCCCCCTTCTCTATGGTCCGCGGCAAAGCGAACCATCCACCGCCTGCGACGCCCCCAAGGAGACTTCGACGCCCGGCAGCGAGGACCGCCCTGCGAAGCAGGCGGTCGGAAGGCCTGAGGCTGTGAAGGCGGCAGTTCGGAAGCAGGTCATTGAGGAGGGGGAAGAAAGACCGAGAACAGGGGTTCAGGGGCAGAAAGCACACCCCGCTAAGAATCAAGGATGCTCGAAGGTGAAGGCTTTGAGGGTCCACACCCCTGCTATGCAGGGTCAAAACTCTCCATAGGAGGGTCCAATGATTCTTAGGGCCCTATATACTCACCTCGTGGGCTATTAACAAGCTTGATGTGTTTTCACTCTTCAGACTGCAGGAGACTGCTCTGCCGGTCCAGTTGCCCCACACGCCCTTCGCCCCCGCCGCGGGCGCCGCCCTCGGCTACACCGGCGCCAGCGGCTCCCCGTCGCGGCCGGGCTACGGCCGAGCGGTGGAGCTGGCGTCGGCGGTGATGTGCCCCATGAAGCAGGGCAGCAGCGTTTTGGAGGAGCTCCCCTGGTCACCTGCTGGTCCTTCGGTCTCCTGGACTGGTTCTTTGGTCCGAGACGGGGAAGGTCCCCTGGTCCATTGGTCCTGTTGGGGGAGAGGCGTTTTCGGTGCTTTCGGTGTGTGTTCTTTTGGTTGTACTTGGTGCACCAAATAGCCCAACGGTTTCAATCAATCAGGAGGTGCCGGTGTGTATAGGAAGGGGGATCTTTGGGACGTTTGGCCCGGCCGTGTGCCAGACTTGCATGTACTGGGAGCAACTGGTAGCATGCACCTCGCAAAACAGCTGTTTGATGCCATGTCCATGGCCCCTCATGGCTTTCGTTCGCGAAGCCGTCAGCCGTTGTGAGGCTTCTCCAATCCATCGGGCCCGGGATCGAGCGGACAGGACTATGTCATGGACCAAAAGATCGGCGAGGGGAGCTTTGGACAGGCCAAACGCAGCGCCCAAACGCAGCTGGGGGGGACCCTGGACACCACGCTCCCAACCTCTGGGTGCATGGTCTCGCGAGCTCACCAGCGAGACCGGACTCATCACTTTGAAGGGTCCATGTGGGGTAGCCGATGACCTCCAGTCATGAACCGAGCGCAGGGGATACTTATATACCGTGATACCCCTCCATTCATACCCCTGATCATGGCAGATTTGTGGATACCCGTGTGGCAGGTGCGTCGACCGCATGGACCACCCTGCTATGTGATTTTTCCCGAGAGTGGATCGGGGACACCAGAGAGCGATGTTGGCCTGGAACCTAACAATCAACCACTGGGCCCTGGGAGGTTGGGAATAGATATACGGAATACCGCAACAAATGAGCTTCCTAGACCTGGTGTAGACCTGTGCCAGATGATAGACGCCCTGGTCATGACTTGACAGAGAAGGGCCAATGATCTTCCACGGCTGTGTGTTATTCGGACCCAGTATACCCTCCTGTAAGACATGAAGAAAGGACCCACGTTTCTACCCTTGGGGATTTGGGTGTGTTTGCAAAAGGGGAAACCTTCCAAAGGATCCATCCACGAGTCTACCGAGTCTACCGAGTCTACCTGGGGGTCTCCCTACCACACCGATGGTAGACGTCGAGTAGACTGGTGGAGTCGGGTTCTGCGGGGTATGTCATAAGATGTCATAAGACCATGGGTGTGGTCTACCCATTCCCCATTGTTTTTGAAGGTTTCAGCCTGAAGACCTTTTCAGGCTTGTGCAAAAGCGGCTTCCAACCGTCTCAGTTGGGTTCGTTTCAAGTGTCCGTTTTGGTACACCTTTCGTTTTGTGCGTGTCATCCTTTGCGGACCAGCACTCCTCCCTGGTCGTGCATTTAGCATCTGACCAGCACTCGAAAATCGAGCCGTAGGCCCAAACCGCTTCAGCCGCCACACACTTTACATTGGCGGATCTCTAACATCGGCCCTGTCACTGCGCGGCACCGAGCATCTGTGTGGTGGTTGCCCAGCTGGTCCTCATACACGAAGCTTGCTTCCATCAGGCTCCTCTGGCCTTGAGCTGCCCTCTAGCAGGCCCCACACACCGGATGCCCTCGAACTCGATTTGCGTTTCTCAAGCCCTGTGCAATCCTGTCGTCGATGGAAGCATTGGCTGGACTCCGCAAACCAGATCTGCCACGTCGGCTCAGCTGCAAGCCGCCTCCTTCTTCCGGTCAGGGTGATCTGTAGTCGGTCCCCTGGTAGGTCAGCTTGGTTGGGAGGTTCTTCTTGCGGCTCAGCTTGTACAGGATGATCTCTCTCCAGACCTCCAGTTCCCCTTCCCTCATTAGAACTGGTACCCGTCGGCGGCAACGATGAAGTACTGTGCTCCCCATCGCTCGTTCGCTGTTGACTTTCTCCTCGTTGGTGTGATCCTTGACCCCTCTCCGCTTGAAGCCTTGTAGAAGACCTTGTCCCTGAGGAGGTCTGTCCAGTCAAGCGAGAGACCCTGACTCTACGCGCCACTGGCTCCTCCACCACTTGGCCCCAATGCAAGCGGCATCGTTGAAGGGTTTTCATGAGCACCATTCCCAGCAACATCATCATGACGCTGAGGAGGTACAGAATGTGGTCGCCCTCGGTGTTCTCATCAACACTCTTGGTGACGTTCTCAGCCATAGCTCCATGCACTTCTTTCAATGCCGACAGCACCACAACAAGCCTCATGGCCTTTTCCAGGTGGTACTTCGCGACCAACTTCATGGCACGAGGTGCAACAATGCCCTTGTCCTCCTCATGGACTTCATCCGCTGAGTCGGGCTGCCATGACATCCCCATTCTCTGTCTGAGCTCATTGACTCGAGCCACGGGCAAAGCCTTGGTGCCAATGTCCGCAATGAGCTCTCTTCCAGGCTGGTATTTGAGCTCCCATTGACCAGACTGAATCCTCCATTTGAGGTGAGCGGCCCGGACCTTCAAGTGTCTTGTACGCCACGCACCAGTTGCACAACTTGCTATCGAAACTGCAGCAGTGTTGTCGCACTTGAGGAACTTTGGGACATCTCTCACCATCTCATCCACCAGACATGCAATGCTGTCCCCCACGACCACGGCCTCAATGACTTCGATGAGTTCAGCTTCTGCTGTTGACAGGGCCGGAAACGGCTGTTTGCAGCTCTTCCATGCCACCGGTGCACCAGCTACTGTCGTGATCACGCAACCGTGGCTGTGGGCTCCTCCCGGAGCAAACGATGCATCACTGACCGACTCCAGGATGAAGTTGGCATCTCTGCGGTACCACAGGCCCAGGCCCTGAGTGGCATTCAAGTGCCTGATGAGCTGGTAGGCCGTCTGGACTGCCCATTTTGGCGCGCGGCTCGTCGCTGAGCAGATCCTGCTGACGGTATAGGCAATGTCAGGCCTTGTCTTCGTCGCCAGCCATAGAAGTTCACCTTAAGTTGCCGTGCCTCACGAACTTGTAGGGGCGTGCGATCCAGCTCATCTTCGGGTTCTTGGGATTCCTTCATGATTTGAGCACTGCAGAGGTCCTCCATGCCATGTCTCCGAACCACTTCCCTCAAGTAGGAACATTGATTGGCAAAGAAGTCTCCTTGTTCAGTTCGGCTCAACTCCATTCCACAATACCGAACTGGTTCACGATCTCCCACCCACGTAGGTTCGGACGTTTCCCAGGTCTTTCGAAAACTCTGTAGTCCTCCTTATCTCCCTGGTGCCAAAGAGCATCACGTCATCCACGTACACAAAGGCGAGTCCCTCGACCCGGTCACCATCCCGGCATCCTTCCTGCGCACCAGCCACAGGTTCTCCTCCGCGAAGCTCTGCCGGTACTCATAGGCGATGTGATTCGCCTGGAAGGACATCTGGCTGATCTCGATGTCCCTGTAGTCCCCCCAAAGTTTTGGAGACTCATGTAGGCCATAAAGAGCCCTCTCCACCAGCCACATTTCCCCTTCCTTCACCAGTCCCAATCGGATGAGGATCTTTGGAGGAAGCATGAGCACCAGGCGTTTCCTTTTAGTCAGGTCCTCCTCCTGCTGCTCCTCTGGGATCACCTCTTCTTGACTGTCGTGACCTCCTCCATCACCCTCTTCATCCTCATGATCCGAGGCCGACCATGAGCGTCTTCCAAGGCGAGTATTTCGGCTGCTCTCCTGAAGAGTTCGTAGAGGGGCGTTCAAGAAGGCAGTCTTGATGTCCAGGCTAGCCGCCTGCCAGCCGCGTGTTGCAGCCAGTGCCAAGGAGGTCCTCAAGCAAGTAGTGTCAGCTCCACCTGCATAGAGTTGAGCCGCTTCCGAACGGTCTCCAGGACCTCTTCCGGCTCTCTTCAGGTAGTCCCCGCAAACCACCAAGCGACACTTCCGGCGTGCATCAGGGGCCTTCACGGCATGGATGGCCTTCCCCGGAACCACCTCCACCTTGTCCCCATGCTCCCTCTGGTAGTAGGCCACCTCTGCGGGAGTCCATCGCCGAATCGACTTCTTGCCCTCCAAGGACTGGATCTCCTTCATGATTGCCTCAAGCCATAGCTCCCGGTCCTTGTAGACCTCATCGTTGGGCACAATCCGGGTCTGGAGGATTTCATCTTCCAGAAGTCTCTGGGTCGACGCCACCTGTTCTTGTCGTAGAGCGACCATGCCTCGGCTCAACGGAGGAACTTCTCTTGGAGCAGATCCCAACAAGTGGCCCTCCTCTTCATAGATCGCCTGGAAGAGCATGCGACGGTCCTCCTCTCTTCGAAGGTCTTCTTCACCCTGGAGACACGCTAGCGGGGTCTTCTCTCGCAACCTCCAGCGGAGCCGTACAGGGTCATCTTGGATGTGTACCTCCTCCATGACCAGATCTCGTTCATCAGGCTTAGGCTGCCTCACGTCCTTGATCAAGTAGCTCACCACCTTGACCTTCTCCTTGTCCGTGAGAACCGCATGCCCCTTGGAGACCTGTGGAGTAGGAGTTAGGTAGGTCACCGTCTCTGACTTCGCCTCAAAGGGTCCCCCGCGCTCCCAGGCCCGCTTCCTCACTGTGATGAGTTGCCCAAAGCGTGGGAGGTTCTCCTTGATGTTTTCACGTCTCCTTCTTTCCAACTCCGTCACGTGTCTGGCCGCTGCCGGCCACCACTTCGTGGACATGCCTGAAGCGTGTAGAAGTCGACGAACTCGTTGCTTGATCGAAGCAATCATGGCCTCAGCTCTGCCATTTGATTGGTGTTCATCAGGAGGACTGAAAGTTCTAGCCAGCCCCCTCTCCAGGCACCACCTTTTGAACGGGTTGTTGTCGAACTCTCGGCCAGCATCTGTGTGGATTCTTGCCACAGGATAGCCGTGGCGTGTCAGCATGCCAAACAGTTCTTGCGTCCCGGCAAGGACTTCTGATGCGCTCTTCGAGGCCAATGGTAGGCAGATGGACATGGTGATCGTCTTGTAGACCTTCTGGTGCTCTTCAACCTCTTCTGGAGTCTTGGGAAGTGGCACCGACGACATTTCTGGTTCACAGGGTCCTGGATCTGGCAACGGCTGTGACTGATCACCGTCTCCTTCGCCCCATGTTGTTCATCCCCTTCATCAGGATCACCCATCTCCTGATCTTCGCCCTCATCAGACGTAGGTCTATAGGACATTTCTTCACCATGGGCATCCAAATCCTGAGCCAGGTCATACTCTACCTCCCGAAGGGCCTCTTCTTCTTCGAGTGTCGGCCAATCACCTCGAGCTGTTCGACGTCGTCCCATGAGCCTTCTCCATGACCGGCCACGTGTATGCCCCAACCAATAGGTATTTCTTGAGGTCACCATCAATGTCATGGCCGAGCACAAATGGGCCCGTCAAATCCAGTGAGAGCACACACGGAGCTGCTATCCCTTGAGCTCGATGTGGTCGATCCCGAGCAGCAGCTCTCTGACATACAGCGCAGTCCCTGCGGAACGGTACATGTCCCTGGGCGAGGTGCTCCTGCCAAGACAACGCCTTCATCGCCACCCGCCTCTTTTGGATGTTGATGGTGATGCTTCTTGCAATCTCTCGCATCATCCCAGGGGCCCATCTCGCCAGCTCTGAACTCGACACTTCGTGCTTGGTCTTCAGAAAGGCCTTGGGTGGGCCCCGATCTTCAGGAACCATGAACTCCATGTTCAGTGCCAGTGAAGTAGGTTTCACCGCCATTCCCCCATAGGCACCTTGGTTGAAGGTCACCAGATCCAAGTTGAGGTGCTCCTTCATGATCTTCCACTCTTCCGTCCTCCAGAAGGATGCCACTTCCGGCATATGCTGCGGCGCTGCAGGCTGCTCCATCAGGAACCTGACCGTCGGCAGCAAATTTGAGTTCTTCTCTTGGGACAGTCGCGCATCTCGAACCATTTTGGCCATCACATATAACGTCACCATGCATGCGCAACAGCAAAACGTCGTCCAAATGGCACTTTGCCCTTTCCACCTCGTCCAACTCATCCAAGCCCCACGGCCTTCCCAAAGATCTTGACGGCCCTGGTAGTCCTGTGACAGGATGGTGACGAAGTTCACTGCGAGTGCGGCAGTTGGGGCCCCCAATCACAGCATCGACCCAGCCCAGCATAGCAATGCGAAGCAGTGCTGCATACATGGCATCGTCTTTGGACATGTCGTGACTTTGGTTTCGAAGGATATCGACCTCCAGCAGTCTTGTAGTGTCCCCACCAGCCTCCTTGAGCGCCCGAGTGAGGTCGTAGCCTTCATTCTTGCCAGCATACAGATGAATGACCACTCCTTCATTCTTCCAGCGCTTGCGAATACGCCGGTTGGCACCAAGGACTTCAAGATTTCTTGCCGGAGAGTCTACTAGTCAATCCTTGATCCTGATCGGGGCCTTGTCGAAGATCGGACAATCCGCCACCACTCGGTCCAGCCAGTCCACGTCGTTGTGGGTCTCTCCAAACCGGTAGCACCTCAAAGTCGTTCTCGACCGAGACTCCTCCAACTCTCTGATGAGGTCCAAGGCGATGTCATGGTCCATCTGAGGACATCCAGCTTCAACTCTGAGATCGATGTTCCCCTTGACTGGGTGCTCCAAAGTGCAAGCTTCTCCCCATTCGATTCGACATCCCAAGTCGCGAACAAGCCTTCCTGCCGGGACGATGGGCTCCACGTTCTCGCTGTTGTGGACCAACGTCTCTCCTTCGGTCATCCGAATGTCTTGCGCTCCTCCAGCGGCCAAGGTCACTCTCACTTGCCGATATCGTTGAAGATCTTCTCCTCGTAGTTTCGGTCTCAAAGCGTGTGTCGCCCCAGAGTCCAGCAGCCCTTCTCGACCCGGTTGAACTCGAGCAATTTTCGCCGCCCGAAGCCCCGGCCCACCCTTTTCCCATGCTTGATTCAGCTTCTTCAACGTTGCCCCAGATTTCGATCTCTCTCGTTGCCCTTGCCCTCGACCACCTCGCTTCGCTGGTGTCGGAGTGACCGTCCCCATCAAAGATTGGAGCTGCTCGAACTGCTGCATGGGAGTCAACTCGTACAGGCGACATCTTTCCACCTCCAAATCCGTCTCCTTTGGGGGCTCGTCGACTGTCATCTCCAGCTGACGCTTCACAGACTCATCGCTCTGGCGTTCTGAAGGCCTGCTGCTCCAGCTCACGTTGAAGGTCATGCACCTTGGCTTCCAGGCTCGCCCTCTGGTATCCATGAGCTCTGCCTGTTGGATCTGCAGTTGTTGATTTTCTTGCTTCAACATCGCCAAGATGGTCATCATTTTTCTGCGGATTCGGCGGACCAGGGCCATAGGGATGTAGTTGAACTTGCCATCCTCCTTGATGTGGCATAGGTCCTCTCCTCTCTTCATGAGGCATGATGTAACCCGGTGGTCCATTCTGTCCAAAGCCCTTAGGAACATGTAGGCCTCGTCCTCCAGGTCCATTGCCATGAACTTGAACCATCATCTGTTCTCGGATCGGGACTGGTTCTTGACCATCACTTTCGCTTCCTGGTTCATGCACTTCAGGTATACCCGTGGTTCTCTTGGTCGGCCACGTCGTTGGTCTTCTGGTACATGATCCCCCACCAGTGCCGGTGATGGTGTCCCCGTCGTTGTACTCGTCTGCGGGAGTGCTCCAGCCAGACCCCCCTCCTTCGGCAGGAACTGCGGTCTGTCCCTTTTCACCTCTTCCGGAGACCTGCTCGCCATACCAGGCTGCCAAATGCTCTGCCTCGGGACTTGAGCATATAGGTGAGGAGCTTGGCTCTGCACTTCATGAAGTCCCTTCAGCTGTTCCGGTGTGAAGAGTGGGGTCATCGGTGTCAAGGTTGTAGGCGGTCCTTTCGGGCCTTCCAAGGTCTCCTCTTCCCCACCATCTTCACCATCCTCCAGAGCAAGCTGCTCTTCTTCCAGCTGCCGATCATGTAGTGGGAGGCCTTCCGGATCGGCTTCTTCTCCTTCTCCATCATCGCCAGGTTGCCGTCGTCTTCGGCGAACCATCATGGCCATTGCTTTCGCGTGCGCAGGGCGGCCCAGCGATCGACCTCCTCAAGCTGGGTCTTACACCTCCAACCTTGGGCTCATAACCTGAAGGTTTCAGCCTGAAGACCTTTTCAGGCTTGTGCAAAAGCGGCTTCCAACCGTCTCAGTTGGGTTCGTTTCAAGTGTCCGTTTTGGTACACCTTTCGTTTTGTGCGTGTCATCCTTTGCGGACCAGCAGTTTTAATGTTTTTTTAATACCAAAGAACCATTGTTTTACTAAGGATTTTGCACTACACCACCCGCTCAACCGTTCTTGTAATGGTCTTTGAAGGCTAGGGCATTTGTTGGTAGACATCCCACACCCATGGTCTTCTTGTTCTGCCTTCAGACGTTTCTCGTCGATGTTCACATGACTCCTCGTCGTCCGCAGGTGTGTGTGGTGACTCACAGGCTTACTGGCCAGAGAAGGGCCTGTAAGCGAGTGGCCATCAACACTGACATGGCGGGGGGACCAAAGCCATCAGGGGTCAGCAGGGGGTCAGCAGGGGTGAGGGGAGGGTGAGGGGAGCATGAGGCGGATGTTTTTTGTTTTGGACGTGGGTGAACACCGTAAATGGGAAGAAATGGCAAAACGAGCTGGGCTTTGGGTTTGAGCATCAAGTCCTCTCTTCGAAATCTCCTTTTCGGTGTAGGCTTCCACCAATTCTGTTGGAGAGAGGGGTGGCCACAGTTGATGGCAGCAATGCAGGATCTTGATGAATCACCGATCCCATTGGGAGACTTTTTCGATCTGAATGGGGGGCCTAGTAATCAAACTCCTACGTCTTAGCTTTGCCCCACCTGGTTGCGTTGCAGGGCCAGAAGCCTCGAGTCAACTTAAGCGCCTCCAGCAAAGGTTGAATCATTTGCGGAACCTGCAGGACGTGCTTCCAAACCAAGATGATTGACCAACGCTTGTCCGGCACCGGTCTTGACCATCTGAGTGTCGGTTGCCGATCAGGACCGGCGTTTGGTGGAGACGGAGATTCAGCTTCTGAAGAAGTTGGATCATGGCAATATCATGCGACTGTCCGAGCCTCTCATTAGCAGGAAGAAACATACGCTGAACGACTCCATACGTTTGTGCCTGCACTTGGGAGTCATAACCCACCCGAGACCAAGGGGGTAAAGTTTGGTCAGACTTCCAGGGTCTACGAAGCGTGGTGATTCTTGGATGGATTCGGGTGTTGCGCACTACGAACAGCACCGGCTGAGCGCCGGGTCGAAGGTGAGACATTGGATATCATTGGATGAATCCAGCCATCGTGTGCCACAAAGAAAGTACGTAGATCCTAAGTATCATTGGGTGTCGAAAGCCAGGTAAACCAACATCCAAGCGAGGTGTTGGGCTTTTGAAAAACCAGGTACGGTATATATATATATAATGTATTATATATATATGATTCAAATAGGCAACCAGCCATGAGTTTTATTTTGCCGTCACAAAAAAGGTGATCGGGTTGCTTGAATCTCGAGTCCCGTATGCCAGTATAAAAGCACCCATGGATAGAAAGGAGTGGATTAAACATAATTATGTTTAGTTTAGTCAACTCCTTTCTATCCATGGGTGCTTTTTTTTCTCGCGAGAAAGTCGCACAGTTTGCTGAGTTGCAAGAAAGTTCGGCGTGCACAAAAAAACCATCTAAGTGCTACGTGGATGGGCCCAGCTTGTATTTGATCTCTGCAACTTGGATTATCAATCGAACTCTTGCACAGAATTCTTTTGCAAGACTTGAGTGCAAGGGCATGAGAGTATTGGATGATAGTCGGATAGACCAAAACTTCAAACAGGCTATATAGGCTAATCAGGGATATACCGCTGACCCACGATCACATATTGTTAAGCAATCTTGTAATATGAGGTTGTGAAGCCAAGGTATCCCAATTCTTTCGGTCAGAATTCCCTTCGAGTTGCAAAAATGGCCCCACTTGCCCCAATCATTTAGCACTTGGCCTTTTGACTGAAAGTTGGGAAGTTGGAGAGCACCAAGGACCAATTTCCTTGACTGATATAACTGATTTTGCGCCAATGTTTCCCATAAGGGCTTCTGAGAGATCATGAATTTCATGAATTGATCAGCAAAGGGAAGAAACAGAAAAGCGTTGTCCCTTACCCTCCAATTTTGTTTTGCCAGTCGGCGAAACTTGGCACTTCGAACACCGAGTCAAACCATGACCTTCCAACAGGTCACCACCTGCGACTTTTAAGTCTACAAAAGCCTCCATTTCGGAGACCTGTTGGAAGGTGCTGGTAGTTCTGGAGCCTTATGTAGGAGTTTAAGGCACCCCCCCTCCAAAAAATAAGAAAACACCTGAAAACCGCGCCCTGGCGGTTCCCCCCCCGGTTGTAAAATGCGTTCCAACGCGTCGTCGCGAGGTCCTCCGTTCTCCGGTTCCGTCGCGCTCCGAGGAGCTCTGTGAGGGCGGCACCTTGCTCCAGGGCTTCGCCCGGCACGGCTCCGAAGCGCAGGCCGAGGGCTTCCGCCGTCGCTTCGCGCCGGGGGACCATGGCGGGACCGGGAGGGGCCGTGTGGTAGGTCGTCAGGGTGATGAACACCCGCATGGAAGACGGAAGGTGGTGTCATGACAGAGTTCTTATGGCCTGAATGTTGATGAAGATGACGCGCCCCAGGCAGCTGTGCGTGTGTGCACATGCGCGCAACATGTTTTGTTTAAGAATAAAACACAAGTGTTTTTGTACGTGTTTGCTATTATTTGATCTTTTTGTTGTATTTGAGGGAATTGTCGCATGGTCGCGCATTTCCTTTTAACGGAACCGTAACATACCGTAACCAAAAACTGCGGGAAAAAGAAGAAGTGAGAAGCTGAGAAACACATCGACAATGAACCAGAAGAAACATGCACCTCCTTCAAGCTTCACTACTACAACCAATTACAGTATATATGTCATGCGCGAAAGCGTCGTTCATTGCTGTCTTCCAGCATCTGCAAACCCCCAAACCCTACCTCCCTCCACCCCATCTTCCAAAGCGCGTGCCCTTGTGTCATGATCTTAGAAGCACATCACCTCCCGTCCCTCCTTGACCTCATGGACGCATGCATCACACCATCCAGAACATCGAATGTGCAAGGACTCGCGCAGTGCATCACGCAGTGCATCACAGCGCAACATTGCCACGCGCATCACAACATCCGCTCAGTGGCCATGCGGGTGTTTGAACACACCGCAAATACCGCAGGACATTTGCAGTAAGTGCTAGCGGCTAGCGTACGGCAGCAATTGGCAGTGATGAGGCGTGACATCCTGCACTGCTAGACAGCCCAGAGGTTCCATGATGGAAACTGCCTTTCTCTCAAACAATGCCTCCCCAGACTTGCAAGGGGGGTTGGTTATCCTTTTTCCAATCACCTTGAAGTGCATGAGACATTTGGATCGAATTCCAATCTGTCATTTTTGAGCGACAAATCCTCACAGTTCTCCCCTTTCTCGGACTTTCCACCCACCCCATCCGCGTGTCGGGGTCCACGGGTCGTGGTTGCTCTTCCGCTAGGCGGCTGCGGCGGTAAGGCAGATCTTGAGTGCCACTGCCTGGCACCGAGATTTCGGCCGCTGTCGGGTGTAGAAATGCTGCGGAGTTGGGTTCGTGACTGTGGACATGTGGACTTTCTATGGTGTTACCGTAGCTGGGTTCCTGGGAAGAAGATTTTTGTGCGAAGATTGCGAAGGAGGTGGAGAAGGAGGTGAGTTTCAGCAGCAAAAGGAAGACTTCTAGAAAAACGCGGAAGCTTTGGCCAACTGGATAAGCTTGCTTTTTTTTTTTTGCAATGTTTGGGTAAAAGTTCTTTTGATACAGCAGTGGCAGCAAGGAGGGCAATACTTGTTAGGTGTGTGACCAAAGGTCAGGAGTGCTTTGTGTAGGCTCATGTAACTCATGTAGCCAAAGTGCAATATCATCATGTGGTGATGGATCAAGACGATCAACGGAGTAAAGCAACAGAGGTTGAAGAACCCGAACGTTCGACTATCCCAGTTCGGTACCCCAGTTCAGGTCACTGGCTACCTCTCTTGGAACGGCTGGTTGCAACCGTCCGCCGATGGGACCGATGGGGTGGCGACCGTGGAGACGGTGGACATCACGTCACCGCCCAAAGATACAGAGGTTAGCGCATGTGTCACTGCGCACTGTAGGAGGTTAGGCCAAGAGGGAGTGGGAGCAATGAGATATTTGCAACAGGTTGCCCACCTAAACTGCTTGTGCTCTTGGATTTGGTCTGGTTGTGCTCCGCGCCATCCATGCAAACGCCATGCAGCCATGCAGCGTCTTTGTCCACGTTGGACAGTGCTGGTGCTGGTGCTGAGTGCTGCTTGGCAGAGTTTGGCAGAGCTGCTTGAAGATTCCGGAAAGCCGCAAGGATCCTATTGGGCTTGGGTCTGGCGCGCAGAAAAAGCGTGAGAGCAAGGAGCATGGTAGATTGCCGGAACAAAACCAGAGTGAACAGCAGTGCACGGCAAGCTTGTTAAAACATGCTTCATTGCTTCACCCAAATCACCGAGGTTTGTGGGTTTGTGGCTTCTTGTTAAACATATACTATACTATTTGGTGATTTTGGGGACTGAAATGACGGTGCAAATGAAATGACTTGTTCCATCTCATGTGTTTGGACTTGTGTGTCCACCAGTCCCATCTCATCATGCATCGACCATCAACATCAAGAACACCAGAGGGTAGCTGAGCCTATCTCTTTGATTGATGTATTCCAAAGGGGACACTGGTGAGAGGGGAATTGGGGGCACTCCCCTGCCCCCCCCAAAAAGCACGTTTTAAGGAGTATAACTCTTATCTCATGTGCTTCTTGAATGGTTTCAGTCAACGTTTCGCATAAACATGTGCCAGGACTTGTGCAACAAACAACTTATCTCATAATTGGCACAACTCCTACTCACCTGGGGGTAGTATAATTGTTTGTGACCCAGAGGGGTGCTGAAAGAGTGGGATGTCAGATGAATGGGGTTCTTCTGATAAATCCGGGGTGGCCCTTTTGCATGGCTTTGGGTCGCCCAGCATCTCTCCAGCATAAGGATCACCCATGCCAAACCAACATTATTTCATAAGATTTCGTAATTTAGACACTGGGTGTTGGAATAATTTGAAACTAGAAGAACAGAAACAGGAAACTGGCCCCTAATCACATGTCTATCGAGCTGTACTTTTCAGCGCCGGGGTTCTGACATTTTCTGAACTCAGAACCCTTAGATACTGTACTGTAGCAACAGCAAAAGCAGTTTGGTTTGGACAGTCCTTTGAATCATGATTTCACAGGCATTTCCAGCATGTGGACTGTGGAGGTGTCCTGGCATCCCCCACTTTTGTGGATGCCAGGGGCGAGCTTCATGCGGCTTCATGGCATTGTGGGACAGGAACTTCTTGCATTCCTTGTTTTCATGTTCCGCCCACACCTGGAGAACTTCCACGAGAAACGCCTCGGTCACGCGACACTGGCCCAGACTTCGGTTTTTCTACGTCGGATCAACATCCATGTCACGACGGTGGATGAATTGAAAACAAGCCTCAAGACCCAAGCCTGAAGAGGTTTGAACATCCATGTCACGAAAGGTAGCTTTGAGCTACCTGAGGTTCACCCCCTCCTCTCTCCAGTCTGTGTGTGTTTGTGTGGTGGTGAGTTCTATCTTCAGTCTACCTGTAAGGGTCCGCACCAGTTGAACTGCCAGGTGGAAGCGGTGGAAGCGGTCACCCAGACGTTCCACCGACCCCCGGCCGCTGGGCGAGGCAAAAACGTTTGGCAAACAAGAACATGGTAGGAACCCTGGGTTTTCGAACAAGAAGCATGCTACTTGAGTGGAGCTTGTGACTTTAAGACAGACTTCTGTATGCTTTGGTCATCTTCCACTGCGATATTTTTGTTGAGGCGCGTGGTCTTGCAGCGTGGGGTAGTTTTCGTGTGCGGCCACACCCCTCCGGGCCACCCGGTACATGCATGCGGTCTGCAGCCCTCAACGTTACTCTGTCAAGCTTCAAACAAGAATATCACGCGCAAGCTCCCATGACTCAATATGAAGCGATGCTGTTACCAAGAGGCCAAGAAGGTAGTGCCCAAACCGATCAGCTGTGATATCAATGGCTACTGTGCCCGTTATGTTCGGGGAGGCTGTGGAACAAGTATGTTGCGGTTGATCATTTGACATGTGTAAAAAGTCTCAGATAATAACGCAAGTTCAGTTTAATGTGAAACATAATATCAATCCTTTCGCTCTGTATTCTTTCTTTCTTTCTTTCTTTCTTTCATAACAATCTCGTTCTCTCTAACAATTGGATTGGATGTTTTATGATTCTGTTTTTCAAGTGTATCTGGTTTAAGTGCCTTCACATGTAAGGACGCTGCATGCAGTCCTTGATTGAACGTTACGCCTACAATCCAGCATCCTACCAAGCATGCGCAAGCAAGCAAAACAGGAGTCCCTTCTTTGTGCACAGGTTTCTTCTTTACCCCAGCTTCAGGTCTCTTCGCCCCTGAGCCGCTCTGAAGTCCTGGCACTGCGCACGGCGTTTAGCGCCAAGTTTGGCGCGAGCTCGGGCTCGCGCGAGCCCACGGATCTGTCGTCTGGGCGGCGCTTGTGACTTGGTGAAGAGACTGAAGGTAAGGCCTTGTAAGGTCTTCCCGCGATCACAAAGGGGTGCCTATTGGAGGAAGTCGGGGTGCCCATTATCCACTCACTGGATGGGACTAAAAACCATCCCTGGAATGTGACTCCTGGTTAGTTTGTTGTTGGCATGCATGTCCTTAGGTGGAGGTCTCAAGCGAACCGGACTTCGCTTTCGATTCTGTCAGGGGAGCCGAGCCATGTCGACGTGCAAAGGGACCGACGACGTTCCGGCAAAGGGACCGGAAGGTCTGTATGTCGACGTGGGGACAGTGCTCATATGCTTTATGTGGGTGGAACGATGTTCCCAGCAAAAACCTGCAGCGGACCCCTGTAATTCGCTGCCGTCCAATCAAGACGGACAACTCCTGCCGTTTACTAAGGTTGCATGGTCTTCCCATGCGTCTGACTGAGCAAATTCGAAGAGACTGGCAGCTGGTTGAGAGCGACAAGGCAATCCATTTGCGAACCGGTCCAGTGGAGTGCGGTGGTGGCGTGCGTTGTTGTTCGTCAAGCACGCTTCGGGTTGGAGCTCAAGTAGCACAGGTTGTTGAAGAACCTTGCTCAATTGTGAGTGAAGTGGAAGGGTGCACGGTCCACGCGTATGGATTGAACTCACCGAAAAGGTGGCAGATGAAACTCCAGTCTGTTGGAGTGTTTCACGATGTTTCACGATTATGTACATTGCACCCCCTTCAGATCACTAATTACGTTGGTAGAAGACCTCCTGCCCTGGTTGAATCCCTACCGCGCTGAAATTGAACATACTTGAATTAAATTAGTGATAGTGGATATATATATATATATATACAGCAGAAGACCAACTGTGGACCAAGTGGATACTCTCAAACCGTCCAGTCGTGACCTGCCACATGTCACCTGGCGAAGGTGCAGCAGGTGAAAGTGTCCCCAGGCGGCCCCGGCGAAGCGGCCGCCTGGCAATTTCTTTTCAGCGGCGCGTGGTTCGACCGGATTATTGGAGGGCGGTAGGTGGAGTGGCTATGACATCTATGACCCGTGTTTTCCCGTTTGCATGATCGGCAGGTAGTGAACAGCAGAATCCAGGATGGTGACTGTTCTTCAGCATCGGATCTTTTCCACACAAATGTGGCCTATAGCATGGCACAGTCCCCTACTCTGGGATGGCGATTCTGACGGTGCGCATGGTCCCCAAGGTGATCACTTGGCTCACCCAAGATCGGCGTTTGCCTAGTAGCGCAGCAGCAAAGGGGGATCCGGCTGGATATGAAACAATTCCAAATCCCGAGCAATGTTGCTTTCCAAGAGGTTCCGAACACTGGGCTCTGGGTTTGTGCCAAGACTGAATCAACTGTGGACAGCAAGTTTTTGGAGTTTTCTACAGCCACGGTTCGGCTAGACTTCTATCCGTCACGGCTTTCACAGGATTTGTGCACTTCCTTTACTATTTGGAAGCTTTCGCTTCATCGTGTCTGGTAAAGCTTCCGAATTGTGGACTCTTGCTGGCCACATGTTATTGGAGCCCTAGAAGGGATGAGGATGAGCTGAGGTCTACTTCTTGCTTTGAAGATTTGGCCTCCTATGTTGTGTTGATGCATGCATTGTTGCGTGTGCTTCTGGGACCTTTGGAGCTGGAGGTTGGCTGCGTTTGAACACTTTAGACTCACGCCCCCTATTAGTCTGCCCATGTGTGGTCCCAGCTAGATGGGGGATCAACTCAAGACAGCTCAGCGCAGGCAAGAGCCCGCCAAGGTGTAAAGCGAAAGCAAAGCTGAAGCAGGCAACAATGTCATTGAATTCTCGGACTGCGTCCAGAGACGCCATGACCAACAGAAAGTGTGCAACCTCATCCACACTCCATATGGAGCTGAAGCGTGCAAGCTTCTGTTCCATGCGGCTCTACAGGCGCACTAGCTTGTGTCACCCCCAAATAAGACTGCGGCTGAGTCTCCTGCCCGACATGTTTAATTTTGTTTGGTGCCTGGGCCCTGTGATTAACTTCATGGCTGACGCTGCTTTTGCCATATAGTGCCATAGTTGCTGGATTCCATTCCACAAGGCGTCAAAAACCACAAGGGGCTTGGACCTGTGCTACCATCTGGTATTGAGGTCTTTGGAAAGGGTGTTGGGCGGATTGGAACTTCCCGTTACTTTGGGGGTTATGGGTTCAACTTGGGGGCAGGTCCCAGCAGCAGGAGCCGGTTGAAACATTTATTGTCAGTTTGTGTCTTGTTGGTTAACGGTCCTCGTCATCGTCGTCGTCATCCGCGAATTTGGGGCCGAGGTGCATATATAATATATATATATATACTCCAAACACCGAGGGAGCCACGGAGGTGATTTGGTTCTTGCTTTGCTGTGTCCCTTGCTGACCATACCCTTGTGACAGGTGGAGATAACCATGCGGGGTTCCGACAATGTATAAAACGCATTTTTCTTTCAAGACTCATTTCGTGCTCGGTGGATTGAGTGGGGACAGCGCTGCTCAATGCAGACTCACCGAGGCCTTGTTGAGTACCAGAGCGCCAGAAGTGTCTTCAGCCGGACTGCTCAGGGCGAGGTCAATGTTTACACCACCCAGATTTGCTTGCCAAATTCACAGGTGCGCCGTGTGCTGGCGATGCGAGTGGGGGTGGAGGCGTGCATATATACGTCTCACATACTCCTCCGTGGGGCCAAAGATGTGTGGAAGTGACGATGAGCGGAAACTGGCCGATGTTTTCCTTGAGAAAAAGCCATGACTGTTTTCATACACGTCAAAAAACCCGACAAACAACACTCCCCCGCAACTGGAACAACCCTTGCAGTGACCCAGCTTCGGCCCCTTGCTCAGGTGATGGCAGATCCGTTGCTCGGCCCTCCGAACATCCCGCTGAATTACGACGAGCCTTCGGCAGCACGGAGCTCGTGCAGTGCCCGGGCTCGGAGTTCAACCGGACCGATTCATGGAGCTCAGCAGGCAGTATACCCGTTCGGCACACGTTCGGTTTTGCTGGGTCTGAACGGGAACCATGAACGATGCAAGCTGTACCTTGGTGACAAATTGGGGTTTTCAAAGGCTTGCCTCAGAAGTGAAAGAACCACAGTTGCTGCCATCGAAATGACAAGCACCTAAACAGACTAAAGCTGCAAAGTGCTGCTGTACCTGAGTATCAATGAATATCGTTTCAATGAATGTAGGCAACCACCCATTCCGTGGTCGACAAGTCAGCGCATCATTTACCTTTACAACTCAGTATACTCATCACTTACCTATACAACCCAGTATACTAGCCAAGCCGCATTCCTGTTGAAGTGTATTTTACGTCGATGGCAATTCCGATCTCATCAGGGGACGCTGCCAACCTCACGATCTCAGATTCTTCGCTCCTCTCCGAGGAGCTCACCAAGCTGCTGAACACCTCGTCCTTCTTGCCGCCAGCCACTGGGGTGAAGTCGAGTCACAGGGGTCCCTGATCCATGGAGTAGGGGGGCCGTCCCAGACTGGGTGAACAGCCAAGACTGAACCGCGTGATAAGACAAGAACAGTGACAAGAACCAGATTCAATTGATCTTTATATATATATATTATATCTATAATTGGGTTTGTCCTATTCCCTGTAACAGTCAGTAAACAATTATGACCATTTTTGAACAAGGCCTTCACTAACCATCATCATCCACTGTTACAGGTATTAGGATAGACCCAATCTAATACTCTTATGCGCACTGCCCTTCGGACTGTTCGGAGTCGCCGGGGCAGCGACCCAGATACCACAGTGGGCATCCTGTTCGCGCCTGTGCGCTGATCGGCCTTCCTGAGGCGAACCTCGAACCGACGAAGAAAACATCCACTACCAATAGAACTGAGGTCCACCCCCGTTTCAGGCCAGCCCAGAGCATGGCGCAACTGGCCCCATTTTGCCGTCTTGAGCACTCTTCGTTCAGCGGCTAAAGGTTGTTTGCGTCCAAGGGTTAGGTGGTTGGTCCGACGCTCCGGAAACCAAGTCACAACCAATAAAGCGCCTAAAAACAATGAAAGCTCAACAAAAGTGACCAAGCACCAACGGTTGCTCGCCCCGTCCAAACCAATCAAGAAGCTAAGGAGCCTTGACACAAACTCAGGCCTGATTGAAGCATCGTCAGGTAAAAGGGTCGTCCAATTGAGCTGCAGTCTCTCGAGAGGGCTTCAAAAGTCTCTGTACGGGTCGGTGCAATCGAGATTGCAATCTGCACGATCGATATACTGTAACAAAACTCATTCAAATCACTAAACGAATTCTCAACCTCATGCGTCGGCTCAGTTCGGCTCTCAACATCCCTCTTTGCTACTGCCAAATGTAGAGCAGTGATCTTCCTAAAACGCACATGGTCCTGCTGCCGTTTAGCCCTGTAACGCGCGTACAACGCAGAAAACCAGCAAGGTCTGGATATAATTGCAAATTTCGCAGCCAGGTCTGCCTTAGAGTTGTTGACCCTGCACCAATCCATAAAAGGGCTTTCACTCTCTTCAGCAGATGAATGGCTCGGGATCTTGTAATGCGAAAGATGCCTGCACTGCCTGCACTGAGCTCGAGCTCTGCAGCTATCTGACTCCAGATGTCAGCATTCTCAAGATGATCAACGCAACAATCCCCAGCCTGAATGCATCTATATAAGGGTTTCCACAACGTTCTCGCTGTCTGACCAGATGTGTGTGACATCCGGCTCACTGGGCGCCGACTGGACCAGCCCTGGACAATCTAAGACTATTAAACACATTTTGTATTCCGGGAACCGGAAACCCGGAGCCCTCCCTTGGATCCTCTTCTCCCCAAGAGTTTCTGTTTGTACTCACCGGGGGGTCAGGAGTCCAGATGTGTCTGAGAGTTGATCACGTGCCGCCCTCAGGAGAGCGACTCTTGGCGTTTCTTGGGGCCCAATGCTGATCCCTGGGAGTTCTTAGCCAAGACCAATTTCTGCATCGACTACAAGCAGCTTGATCTAAGAAAAGGAACCGGCACATCGAATTGGTTTGGAATCGGACTTGCATGGAGTTGGATCCGGGGATGCGGAGGAGGGTGTCTTTGCAGAAAATGTCTTCGGGAATGACCCCCAAACCACTGGGGGTTTGTCTAGTCTGTTGGTGCGACAGATGTCATCATGTGATAGGGTGGTGCGCTTTTTTGCGCATGCAAAAAAGCTATCCCCGGTGGTGCGAGGCTCCCTTGTTCTGAGACAACCACTTGTAGGATCCCATACCCATCCCTGCTGTAGGTATGAAACCTGCAGTGCAAGAAAAGTAACCTGGCCTATTATGGTTGTGAATTAGAATAGGGAGACGCCCAAAAGACACCCGCTGGTTGGATATCTCCCTATTAAAATACACACCCACATCAACGGCGCCATGTGTTGTGTTGGTGATTGTTGGTGACTTAGTTTTTCGATCTCGTCAAGTAAAAGACATGGGCGCCCGTCGACGCCGACGTTCTCCAAACCACCCACAACGAACAGGGTTTGGTATGTTTGGTTGTCTCTGGAACCTCTGCGTCCGGTTGCGGGTCATCCCAACCATGGAGTGCAACGAAAGCACTGTCTTTGGTCGAGAGGAAGGAGCTCCCGGCTCAACATCGATTTGCTAACCCGACTCGTGCTTCCAAAGTGCAGTGATTGCTTTCGAACCCAACTGGGCTAGACGGCGATCGAGGAATCCGAATGCCTACTACACCAGCCCATACATCCACACCGTGACGCTGCGGGGCCTCGGAGGCTCCACGGACTACAGCTTCCGACCCGCAGGGAGCAGCAGGCGGGAGAAGACCAGCTTCCAAGCTGGTTCGGTCGGTACCAGCGCCACGGAGTTCGGATGGGCACCCATGGGTGGTTGCCAAGACACCCCTGCACCAGGTCTTTTTCTCGTGGCTTGATGTGTCTCTCTGTCCGATTAAGGAGAACCGGAAGGACCAATGAAGGTGGGGATGGAAGGTGACTGGTGGGGATGAAGATGGCAATGGACAGAATCAGAACATGACAGAACTCTTTCAGTCCATCGATAGGTTGTTCCTTGTGCCCTGACCCAGGATGATGTGGGATGGCAAGGAATTCAACGACGGCAGGCAAATATGACACCAACTACACTACACTCCGGGAAGTATTTTCAAGAGGGGTTTGCCCCCCAACCGACAACACCGCTTGGGACTGGATTCAGCCTGGCTTTGGGGAATAGAAACCTCCGCCAACTGACGCAATGCAGCGCCGAACGACCTGGGAGGTCGTTTCACTTCAAAACGCCGCCGAACGCTGGGGCCAATGCCGCGCCCATGCGCTTGGGAGTCTGGGTGGCTTGGCGTGGTCGACTGCCCTTCAGAGTGGTTGGGGTGCAAGGCACCAGCGGTGAAGTGGCCAGATTTCTTTGGCTCCGGTTTGCCCCGACACCCCCAAAAAGGCAAAAGGTACGTTGTCTTACTGTGGGACACGTAGGTGGCGAAGGCGAATTCGGCAAACGCAGCGCACTCGGGTGGACAGCGCCAGGTGCCGTTCGCCACGGGAGGGCGGGTTTTGAGGAGGCAGGTTTGGTGGACCACCGTTTTGGAATTGGTCTACCCTTACAACCATGAACACGCATAATGAGACATATAGTCAGACATAGATGATATGTGAAAACCATGTGTTTTCCATGCTCTCTCCCCCCACTCCTCTCCCAGACACACCTCATGATGCAGGATTTGCATTTTCGTCCCAAACGAAAATGAGCGCCCCCTGCAGCCCCTCAGCACCTTCAGTGGCGGAATTCTATGACATGCACTGCGGGCGGAAGTGGCTAAGTGCAGCCAGCCAATGGGGCTTTTTATTTGATCTGTTCTTCCTTTTCGCCCTCTATCGGGTGAGTTGAAAGACAGCACGCTGGGGTCGGTCAGACAGAGAAACGACTCAAACTGACTGATGGCTAGGAGTCTAGGAGGATCTTTTTTTCCGAACCCATCGGCAGACTGTCCGCGTTGCTTCACGCCCAGCTGCGTTGGTTCAAGACCTGCCCAGCTGCGTCACCGCCCTGTGCCAGGCGGACATTGGCATCACAAATGTGAGTTTCGGTACCCTGGAGGATTGGAGGGCCCCGCCCTGAAGGGACGAGTTTGATGCACTTCTTCAAAGAATGGTTTGGTTTGTAGTGTTAGTATGTGTTAGTTAGGGAGTTAGGGAGTTGATGTTCTGAGCACCCTGCATCCCCATGCAACCCCTCCAAGAGCCACCCCGCACTGGAACTCCTGGCTGGCTCTTTGACTCAGGTACGTTTGAATCTTCCATGGTGGACATGTTTATCATTTGTAATGATGTGAGCCCATGTATGTTTTCTAAATACCATGTCATCCGAAGGTAGTATAATTCATTTGCATACTATTGCGTTTGTATAGTATAGTGTATTTATGTTCTAGGGCCACTGATCAGGGATTCCTTTGTCTTCCTTCTACTGTTTCCGATGGTTTTTCCGGGTTTCGGACGGTCATTGAGCCACGGTCAGACTCGATGTGTTTGGAAGATTCATTGGACATCGTGGACACATACCTGACATACCTGGTCTCTTTTGAGGCCTTTCTATATTACTCGATGGACTCGCGGAAACTAAGGTGTAATGTCAAAGATGCTCGACCTGGAACCAGATTTGCTCGTGACTGTGACCAGGATGCACAACTGCTACAACATTTTGCTTGCTTGTTTGATCTGGAGACCTTCTCTTATGGAGACCTCGCAGGACTTGATACCCTGCTTGGCGCACCTATCACTCAGGTTTTCTCGGCCCCCAAGCCTGCGGGGAGGGTGGGACACGACAGATGGGACCGGCGCAGTCCCAAATAGAGAGGTTTCAGTTACAGCTTCAAAGTGTCCAATCCCATGGAGTTTGTTGGGGGGACGAGGCTTTTTCGAGAATCCTGCTCCTCAGGTCGGAGACCTGTCCTATGCCGATGGCTGGGCAGAGCGTTGGGACATCTTTGGCTGCTCAGCACTCAAGATGGGGAAGATCATGTTGATGGTTGATTCATCACCTGCCCCACCCGGATGGTTCGTTTAAAAGGGCTTGGGAGGTGTTAGGAAATCAACAGTCAACATTATACTTGCACCCCTCTTGACTAGTTAAGTGCCCTTCTGCACGTTGTGGTCCTTAGTTTCGTACACGTCGCCATCCTCGCGTGCAGTGGTCGAAGCTGTTCTCCTAAATGGCCGCGGCTGGTCCCAAATCGCCATCCCTGGCTGCAGTGATCAATGCTGTTCTTCGTGCCGCAGCTGGTGGCAATGATCAAACCCCCAAATCGCCATCCTCGGCTGCAGTGATCAAGCTGTTCTCCCCTCTGTTGTTGCTGCATTGCTGCATCTCTCTTTTTTCTATATATCTTCTTCTCTCTTTGTCACCCTCTCCATATCTCTTTCTCCTTGGTTCTTTCAAACAATTAAAGGAAATGGTTCACTCAAGAATTTCGACCGAGCGCATGGTTCCATCCAGGGATGATGATGGAGCCCCTGATGTCGAGCCGCTATCACCTGGCGGTCGTCGGGAATCACGAGATCATTCAGAACAACGGCCACTCGATGCGTGGACCGCGGAACTTTGTTTCTTTTGGATTCGCACCACGAAAGGAATCCATCGGCGATCGCTGTTTTTAGGGTGTTTGCGGGCAGCAGCGTGGCTGTATTTTGTGTGTTTGAATAGTTGGGAAAAGCACAAAGATGAGGGGGTCACCAACTCTCTAACAATCCCTTTGGCCCCAAAGAGGGAACTCCTGCAGGGTTGGGCCATATACAACTGCCGCGTGGACAGTGGGTTTCTGACAAATCTACTCACTACTTGATTTGACCAACGACTGAGTGGTTTTGTCTCGGCTTCATTCCCTGAGGTGTTGATTTCATCCATCGCTATCCGATGCCGTTCCGGCAGTCTGGAGCACCAGGACCCTACATGTTCGCGTATGAGAGTGGACTGCTGCAGCTCTTTCTCGCACAAAAAGAAGCTCTTTCTTCGCCAGTTGAAGGTTTGAAGTTCGTACATTTTGGTCAGAGACTCTCTCTATATATATATATATATTTTTTTTTTTTTAAAGGGGGTTGTGAAATAACGGAGTCCTTTTTCCATAGGGTGACCAGAATCAGAGCCACAACCAGAACTAATTGCAAGAGAGGCGCAAAAAAAAACACAAACTTTGAGGCCCTTGCTTGGTGTTTCCTTGATTTTTCTTGCCGGTACGTAGATCCAAACAACTCATAAGTGGATCCTTGAATTGTTCTTTGCATGCCTGACTGGGCCCAGCGCAGACCACCCAGGTATCTCATCGGCTTGCCCGGGAGCTACGCCCCGACCGCGAAGGGTTCACTGCAGTGGAGCTTTGCGGAAGAGAAGCTGATGGAGGTGGACCGTGAACGGACGCCTTGGGTGGTCGTCGTCTTCCACACCCCCTGGTACAACAGTGACTGAGTTGGAGGACCTGAGGACGTCTCAGTGAGGGAGTCTGGAGGAGTCTGCAAAAGGATGCAAAAGGCTTTTCAGTGAGGGCAGGTGAAGATGGTGAAGATCTTTGGTGCAGGTTGCTTAAGGTTGTGAAGGTGTTCGTTTGAGGTCTTAAACTTAGAACCGGTCACACCTGGTCGGTCGCACGGTCCAGGTGGGTTGGCCAGTCACGGAGGTATGGTAAGCAACGTAGGCTCCCCAGACTCTGGCGATGCGGTTGAGGATTGGCCCCCAAATTCCCGTGGGAACTCACGCAGAACTTCTCAGCCACCGGAACGCGCCCGTGGGAGAAAAATCATGGCAATGGCCCTCTTTCAGACGATCGCTTCAACTTCCGAGGCAACAATGCTCATTTCGGAGAAGGCATGAAGCATCAGTGGGAGACCTGGCGCACCCAGAACCCCAAACCACCCCACTTCCGTTCGTGCCTCGCGTTCGTTGCCGCCACTTCCCGACTTTGAGGGCACTCAGGTTCCTTCATCCATGTTGACTTTTTATCAAGCTCCATGTTGGCCCTGCCATGTGGCTGTGAGCCGAAGCATCAAAGGTTGACGGCCCCCAAACTCCTGAAATTCGGGGAATCTCTTCAATTGACCGGGTCCATCAACCAGGTCAAACCAGGCTTTGGACCCACCCCCCATGTGGCTGGACGTTCTTCACCCTTCTTCTTCGGCACCTGGAGACCTTTCGTCGAATTGCGACCCATTCAAGCATTACCCACCGGGAACGGGGAAGCATGCTCCACTGGTGTCACGGATCGTGTGGCATAGTGACATAGTGGTTCCAGGATCTCTTTTGGATTTCTCCCATCCGCTGATTCTGCACACAACCCATTGGTTGCGTCTTTTCAAGAAGCAGAAGGACGGATAAAAAGAGAGTATCGAAGGAAGTGCATGGAGCAGGGGTGCATCTGGGTCCTCTCCGTGTAAGACAAACGCAACCTACTACTGGACCTAGTGCAAAGACCGCAATGACCACCCCACTGGAGATTCCTGGCTTGTTCCATCTACACAATCATGGGAATCGGACCAGGGCCTCTTGCAACGCTTCTTTCCTCTGCAGCACACACACCCACACCCACACTTAGACAAGGGTTCATTCAGTAAGATAACCCACGAGGAAATGAATGCAGGAACGGAAAGGTGGCGGAGTCAGCGAAACAGAAAGATTTTAACATCTTGTCGCGCATTAGCCCTTTACTATTAGTTACTGAATACGTAGCAGTCTTGAATTACGGCCGTGCAGTAGTTAGGGGGCCAGACCGCCCGGGTAGAGTAGACTAGAACAGGGACAACAGAAGGGAAGGCACCGACACACACACACACACCGCCCTGGTAGAGTAGACTAGAAAAGGGACAACAGAAGGAAAGGCACCGACACACCCAGTGTGTCGAGTACCACTGTGTAGAACTGCAGGTATAACTGGTTACTGAATACTTTGCGGTCTTGCATTACGGCCGTGCAGTAGTTAGGGGGTGAGACCGCCTGGGTAGACTAGACTAGAAGAGGGGCAACAGAAGGAAAGGCACCGACACACACAGTGTGTCGAGTCCACTTCCTTCTGTTACCCTGTGTGGAACTGCAGGTACGTTTACAGCTCTCACCATTGGCCTCTTTGTTGGCCATCCACCAATAGTGAGAGGGATGGCCCCCTGCTTTTTGGTAAAACAGCAAACCTCCTCAAAGCGGAGGGGGACACACACACACACTTCGAACTTGAATTCTTCAGTTAATGCAAGTATCACGTTGGGAAGGAAGGTGATGGAACAGCAAGGCGAAAAGGTCCAAAGACTTGAATTGTTGAAAAAAGTTTCACTCGCGCGGCTAGCTGCAAGGCTGAGGACTGCGGTGGGAAACCTGTTTGAGGGGAGAGTATCGTGATCAAACCACCATGGCATCAAAACACAGCAAGGAAGAGTGGGGTAGTGTCACGAGCAGGTACACGGAAGTGATCAGCTTCCGCTTCCTAGGAGCTTGCAAGGAGCTTCGTTGGGCAGAGCCTTGCAAGTCCTCTCTGCCCCCCTGCTTGCGAAAGGTGGTGGTGGAAAACCCTTTGTCCAGGGGTGGACACACGCACACACAGCGCCGCATAGCGGCGCTCACTCCGGCGGAAACCTGAATAGCGACCTAACAGCAAGCCTTAGAAGAAGAAAAAGAAGAAGCAACAGGAAAAGGGCAAGAAAGAAAGATAGGTGTAGGGGCATGCATGTCGGCCGAAGGCCAATTGCGGAATCAAAACTTGAATAGCAACCTAACAAGCCTTAGAAAGGAAAGAAAGAAAGAAAAAGCAAGACGAAAAGGGGAAGAAAGAAAGATAGGTGTAAGGCCATGCATGTTTGCAGAACGAGCGGCAAGTTACGGAGTCAAAACCTGAATAGGCACCCAACAAGCCTTAGAAAGGAAAGAAAGACAGAAAGAGAAAAAAGAAGAGGGCAAGAGAGAAAGGTGTAGTATAAAAGGTAAAACTAGTTACTGAATAGCGGTCTTGAGGGGGCGAGACCGCCCGGGTAGAGTAGACTAGAAAAACAACAGAAGGAACACCGACACACACATTGTGCCGAGTACCATTTCCTTCTGTTCCCCTGTGTAGAACTGCAAGTAGAGCGAAACCGAGGGGCAGGGAAACGAGCCTCAAGAACAACCTAACAAGCCTGAAGAAACACCTAACAAACCAAGAAGGAAAGGGGGGAGGGGTGGGGGTGGGGGTTTATTCGCCGTAAGCCCGGCGGCTTTCTATCCGTGTGCCCGGCGGAGAACCCACGAGGAAATGAATGCAGGAACGGAAAGGTGGCGGAGTCAGCGAAACAGGGGGTTATGCGACGCACATGTGAACGCAAAAGAGACAGATGAAAAAGAAAGAGACGAGACAGACAAAAAGTGTGTGTGGTTGCCGATGAAGAAGAACCAAGTGAAGAGGGACAACCGATGAGCCAAACCTCATTGTAACAAACCTGGGCCACCTGAACCCAGTTGTAAGTGGAATACGCGTGCGTGTATGTGTACAAGCTAAGGTCCGGACGAAAGAGCACGCAAGAGAAAGGAAAGGGTGAGGATGAAGAGACATGAAGACAGAATGACATGAAAGAAAAAGAAGGGAAGACGTCTGTGGGGGCCAATGAAAGGGGAACCAAATGAAAGCGGACAAACCGATGACAGACCCAACCTCATTAAGAAACCTGTTGCAAAGCCTGTTTTGCTTGTAAGTACGCCGCGCGCGAGAGAAGAGGGGAAAAAAGAGGAAGAGAGGAAAGGGAGAGAAAGGAAGAAACGAAGGTGCTCCCAGCTACGACACAAGCGTCCAGGGACACACCAAAAAGGAAGGGCTCCCAGCTATGACGAAAGCATCCAGGGACACCCAAGGAGGAGGGAAGGGGGCAGCTACGAACCAGCGTCCAGGGACACAGCTAGAGAGTGAAAGGGGTGTACCTGAGTATTCCATTCAGGAACACCCCAGAAGGCAAAGAAGGGGGGAGGGAAGGGGGAGGAAGGGGGGTTAAGTGCTCGGCAGATTCCATCAAGTCTTGAACACGCTTCGGCCGCTGCGGCCTCGTACGCCGTGCCAAAATGGCTGGCAGCTTTGACCGCTACGGTCACGTAAAGGCATGAGCCGTGAGCCAGCTTGGAGTTCAATAATCCGACAAATCCTTGGCAAATAACTTTGGCATAAGCCTACTACGCCCGCTCTGGGCACGTGCGTTTCCACGGCATTGGGAACATAGACCAACACCCGTTCAACGGGTCCACAGGGGCCACTCTACGGGGTCACCCTGGGCTCTCACTAGGAGAGACACACTTATAGAAATGCGTACTGATGTGAATGCGGTGCCACACGCCAGCCTAAGTGAAAAACCTAAGAAACCAGGACAGGTACATGTACGGTGGGTACTCCAAATCGACAACTCCAAAGCGACAACGCATGACTGCCGAGTGCATAACCGATGCAAAGGCTGGATGTCTTGTTCTAGCTTCAAAGGGGCAAAAGGAAATAAGTGGTGATCATCGTCTCGCAGGTACGTGCAATCTGCGTCCAGATTGCATATCACAGCAAACTTGAAGTGTCTGACTTCAAGAATGCCCTCCGCTCCCCTGCACAACACCGAAAGGTGCCCTGTGAGTCCAAGGGTTACACACACACACACACTGAGACCATAGGGCCATAGGGAAGGGTGAAGGGTCTTCATCGCTTAATTTCTGGTTTTTGCTGAGGATATGGAAGAGCTCTTTTACCAGCATGGTGTGGACTTGGTCTTCAACGGGCATGTCCACAGCTATGAGCGGTCCTTTCCAGTCTACAACCATTCGCGGAATGAGTGTGGCCCGGTGTAGGTTCAACGTCGGCTGGGAATCATGAAGGATGTGAAGAGGTCCAAGCTCATACTGTGAACAAGTAGAGTCATTGCGATCGATGGGCATGAGAGAGCTCACTAAACCCATACGTATCATACACAACACACATATCACATAGGCCGGTTGATGGGGGGGGCCCTGAGGAAATCTCGTGCTGGTGATCCAGTGGTTCAAACTGTATATTCTTGTCTCAATAAAAATTTGTCCAAAAGTCGGTAGCTGCTCGGGTTTTCGCTCGATATGAGTTGATATGAAATTTACATTTCCTATTCTGTTGTGAGCCATCGTTGTAATGACGATTCTTTTGATAGTACCTTACAATTTTTTGATCAATGTAGATGTGCCGAGCAAGGGCGTTGCCTTGATGAGAGAGCCATTTGCTGCAGGCTCTCTCTGACGGTGGTAGGTATGGTGATGAGAAGATTCTGCGGATTGAATCCATCGCCAGATTCTGTCAGGGTGGTAAGGTTGACTGACTGAAAAGCCATCTGAACTGTTTTCGGCAACCTAAAAGGAGCACCGCGCGCTCGACAGAGGAAGTGGGGGCCCTCTGACAATGTTCTATATTGCCCCTTTGTTGCTGGCCGAGAACCAAGGACCAAAAGCCATCAACGAATGGTTGGCCCCGTAAACGGCATCTGAAGAAGAACTCTTGAATCCTAGAAATCCAGCAATCAAAAACATTACATAACTGATATGCTATTCCCACCCAGTCAGTGGACAACCTTTAACATTTTTTGGTGATTGGTTTTTCCCCTTACGCAAGAACAGGCCGGAAAGTGCGGTGAAACATCGTGTTCCAGGGAAGCCTTTAGATTTAGATTATTTTCGTCCACCTGCTCAGGTGGCACCACGCACATTGTCGTGGGCGACGGGGGCAACTACGAGGGTCCCGCCATCTACGAGGGGCATCCACCCGGGTGGCGGACGCCACAGCCGTCCTGGAGCGCCTTCCGAGAAGCTTCCTATGGACCAGGTGGGAGGATTGGGCTGGGGAGGCGTATGGAGGCCTTGGCGGGGGGCTTGGGATAGGGGTAGGCCTATGGAGGCCATTTGACGTCGCGGCTCGGTGGGAGGTAGAGAGGGAGGGGCTCGCGGTCTAGAGTCCAGACTCGCGGTCCGTATCGTCACGTGTCGGCTGCCTAAACAATATACCAGGACCCACAAGGGGTGGTTAATGGAAACCCTTAACCTCTAAGGGGCTATCAATAGAAACCCCTTACGTTGTCCTGGTATAGGCCATGAAACAGGACCAGATTTGTAGTCGGCATGTCTTTCTGTTCTGTACATCGCCTGGCGGCGTTTTGCGAGCGAGGCTTGCTCACTGTGTTCAACTCCACGCATGCTGAATGGCGGTGGCATCGGGTGGCGTGTGTCTTTGAGAACAAGAGCCGTGGCGTTGTGAAAGCAGAGGGGCTTTGCTTTTTTTTGGGGGGCGATTTTGATGTTCCTTGCTGGAACGCTCCAAATTGGAGTCACAAGATTGTTGTGCCGACATGTGACCTGCTTCTTTACAGCCTGTACTTGGATTGTGCAATTCTTGACTTGCGTTCAGTACAGTGAATGGTCGAGTTTGCGACATCCCCAATGGCATGCACGTTGGATTGTGGTTGGGTTCATCCTACACCCGGGAAGATTAACATGGAGCCTGAACATGGAGCTTTGGAAGACTATTTTCCTCTACAGGTTTTCAGGTTCCATGTTAATCTTTCAGGATTCACGCTGATATACGCTGACACCGCTTATGTTGTCAATGGTGCAGACAAACCAGCATTATGGACTGGTCCACTGAATAGCCCAACCCAAACATGGACAATCCTACCTACAACACCTACAGAGACCCTCGACATCCACCCCTGAATGTAGACAAAGCACCCTCCCCAAGGGCCCAGACAATGTTGGGGACCTTCAAACTCATTCCTTTCATTCCATTTCTTCCAATGCATCGGACCTCTACAAAGCCTCCCCATTGCTGATCTGGCCCGTTCGGTGGATTTTTGTGGTGTCCGTCCCCCAAACCGTCGTGCTCCGGCGGGTCCCACGCAGTTCAGGGCTCACCGTGCGGTGAACTGGACGAAGTTCACATACGAGGGCGCGAGGCAATCCTTGGGGCGAACGAGGCCGATGAGTGCTTTCTATTGGGAAGCTCAGATGCACCTCAGGTCGCGGTTCTGCTTCGGTGCTTTTCTTCACGGAAAAAGACAACAACATGTTGGCTCAGAACTTGGCAATGGGGGAAAGAAGCCGCTCATCCGTTGATGTCTAGCTTCATTTGGGATTGAACATCTTGTCTTGCCCAGATGGTTGTCGAACATCCACACCTTCCACTTTCTGAGTCCTTCACCTTCCAAGACCCCTAAAAGGTCCAGAGCCCCTTCTTCTTTCAGGACGGCGTGAGCGGCCCTGCGGGCGGCCCAGAGTGTGCTACGGAGGGGGACAATGCAGAGCAGGCCTATGAGGCCTCGGACGTGGTGATGTTGGTGCGAGACCCCCAGCGGTGCCCCAACAAGCGCCTGGGCGGCCAAACACTGCGAGGGGGGAAGTCGAAGCCATTCGAATGATCTACATCTAGGCACCAGAAAGAATGGCCAATTGTCAATAACTTTGAATCCTTTGGGACTGGAGCAGTTCTGGTCATTCCACTTGTGCTGTGAACGTTCATACACAAAGGTCTCTGCGGGTTCCGAGGCCTACGCTGATTTGCGGGGTCATTCACCATCTTCACTGCTGAATTGGTAATGGCCATCCTGGGAAAACCCACTACTGTAGACTAGCCCTTTTCAAGTTTCTCAGTTGATGCAAATAACATCAAAGATACATAAAGCGTCCGGCCATGCTTGTAGAGACACACACTTAGATGGTTGCTTGCAAGAGCTAGGATCAGTATGAAGTCCCACTTTAGATGCATTAGACCTTGACTGAAAAGGAGTGCAAACAGAAAGGCGATGAGTCAGCAGAGTTGAAGGTGTTGAACACTGTTTTGGAACTGCACGGCAATAAGCAACTAGACCTGATTAAAAATTGACATGGAGCAGGTACACATTCAGGCGTCCCTGAATGCATCCACCAGTCTCCCGTAGCTTCGTTGGGCAACGTAGGAAGACCGGTCGTTGCCCCCCTGGTTGATTTGCGTGGTTGTTTGTTTTAGTTGGGTTTCTAGTAGGAAGGCCAGAAGTTACTAGTAGCAGCCAGCCAAACTAGTGGAATTCACGGCAAACTTACCAGGTACAAACCTTGGAAACAAGTGTTAACACACACACACACACTGTGCCGCAATCGGCGCTCTGTACCCCTGGCGTGAAATGGTTTTTTTGGCGCAACAGCTTTGTACACATAGCGCCATTATTGGCGCTGTGGAAAAGTACTAGCCACCTAAAAAGCCTTAGAAAGACAGACAGAGAACAAAACAAAAGCAGACTAAGCGGGCAAGAAAGAAAGATAGGCGTAGTTACGAGGCCCACTAGTTACAATACGTGCAGAAGTTAGCGAGCGGGACTTTGGTCTTATACCGCCCGGGTAGCTAGAGGTAGGACAGGAGAAATAGAAGGGAAGGCACCAACACACAAGTGTGTTGAGTGCGACTTCCTTCTATAACCCTAGATAGCGGGTGGGATAGCAACGGAGGCCTGGGGCAGGGTGCCCAAAGGCTGTCCCCATTGACATTTCAAGCCGATTATGGGGACGGCGGACCCTTTTCTGACAAGCATCTGAAACCTAAAGAAACCTAAAGAAAGGCCTCAAGAAACGAAAAGCAACAGCAAGAGAGAAAGAACCCAAGAACATGACAAGAACATGCACCGGAAAAACTCACAAGTGCCGCCTGTGATTACTTAGACATGTAGACTGCACAAAAGATTACTTAGGAAAGCAAGCTGAAAGGTGCATGCGAAAGTTGCATGCAGTGCCATGTCTGAGTGCTGAGCCCCGCCTGTGACTACTTAGACGTGCAGACTGTACAGGTGAATACTTAGACACATGCTCGCGTGACGATGCAAATCCGGATCAAAGTTTGAGTCTCAGTGAGCCCTGCGGCATAGTATCAGTGGTATCGAGCAATGACAGCAAATCAGAAGGAATCAGACGAAATGCCAAGGTGGAAGCAATCTTCCAGGATCTGGGTCTATGCACATGCGGCGCCCTTCGACGGGGATCACACCACAGCCCTCAGTGGGACTCTGTGGCGATACACACTTAGATGGTTGCTCGCAAGAGCTAGGATCAGTATGAAGTCCCACTTTAGATGCATTAGACCTTGACTGAAAAGGAGTGCAAACAGAAAGGCGATGAGTCAGCAGAGTTGAAGGTGTTTGAACACTGTTTTGGAACTGCCCGGCAATAAGCAACTAGACCTGATTAAAAATTGAGCAGGTACACATTCAGGCGTCCCTGAATGCATCCACCAGTCTTCCGTAGCTTCGTTGGGCAACGTAGGAAGACCGGTCGTTGCCCCCCTGCCTCTTTGTTGATTTGCGTGTTTTTTTTGTTTTAGTTGGGTTTCTAGTAGGAAGGCCAGAAGTTACTAGTAGCAGCCAGCCAAACTAGTGGAATTCACGGCAAACTTACCAGGTACAAACCTTGGAAACAGGTGTTAACACTTAGATTGTTGCTCGCAAGAGCTGATGCCAGTATTAAGTTCCCCTTGACTTGAAAAACAGAAAGAACGAAAACTGAAAGGCGGCAGAGTCGATAGACTTGTAGATGTTGAACAAGGTTTCTCGCAGGTCACTAGTCGATTAGTGCAAAACACTGCAGTGGACAGCTTATTCAACGGTTTCAACAAGCTTTGCAGATACGTTCTCAAGGCGTCCTCCAGAATATCCTGACGAATGGCTGGAGCTTCGTTGGATCAGGCCAAGCCAAACGTCCCTGATCCCCCTGCCTCTTTTTTTCGCGCTGAGAAACTATATGTTAGTAGCGATACCAGGAGCCCTTAGTAGCAAAACCAGGGGCCCTAGTAGCGTTCTTTGTGACTCAAAAACCTTAGGCACAGGTGTGGACACACACACACACACGCGCGCACACATTTCACATACACCAGTACACACATGTTCCAAGATCTATCATTTGTCTATATAGTTATTTTTAGATCACTATGTGCCCCTTTGCTTGTGGTGTGAACATTGCTGAGGTCCTTCCGGCAGCCGGGAACCATGGCCACCGCGGCCTCCACCGGCGCGCCGGTCTGGTTCACTGAAGCACCGGTCTGGTCCACCGCGGCTGCTGCGAGCGTCGTCGCGGCCGTGGGAATGGCCCTTGTCCTGGTGCAGTCGAGGCGGTGCAATGGAGCACTGCAGCAACAGCCCTTGCTGAGCGGATGACAAAAAGGATGGGGACCCATGAGACACAACTCAACACCATGAGACTCAGGGTGTTGAGCAACCAGTTCTTCAAAGACGTCTCCACAACCAGTTCTTCAAAGACGTCTCCACCGGATGGAACCACTTCCATGTGTCCATGATCATGGCTTGTTTGGGGCTGGCACGTGGCCACCTAAATCAGAGGTTTTTCTGTTGTATGTAGCATTGGACAACCTCTTCAAACAAGGCGCACGACAGATGCCACCAAACTCTGTTTCCATGCTGAACAAAAGATCCATAAGGGAACCGAATCCGTTTGGATGCAAGAGAAACAAGTAGGCGATGAGCGCAGGATGATTCGCTTACGTGCCAAGATCTTTGAGAGGGTGTTCTTTTGGCCTTTTAAGGTTCTGATATTATACAGTAGGCGACCTCGTGTCTCCGGTTTGCTTTGCTTCGCATGGACCCGACCGACCCGCTCGCAGCCCAAGAGTCTCCTACAACACCAGGAGTCACGAGCAGATTCCTCAACCCAGGCGACCCCGAGTCACGAGCAGATCCCTCAACCGAACAAATGGCTTGGTGGGAGGTGTTTGGACCTACAGTCGCCGCCCAGTCGCTGAGGCCTATTGCCATGCGCGGGGCGTGATCCACCGGGACCGGCCGGCCGATTGCCGTGTTCAGTGCGAGTCCGGTCTGCGGGTCTGTGGGTGTTATTCCCATGTGACAACAGGGTCCAACGAACGTCAATGAACGATTTTCAGGGGGAGAGGCGAAGATTCACCAGGGGCATTGCTCTGCTACCTGCTCGGCCGCGCCTGGGCGCTCGCAAAATGGAAGTTTTTTTGGAAGACTAGGACTACAGTGCGGAGATTCCACACCATCCATGCAGAAAACTGCGATGGTTGTTTCTCACCCACAGAGGCATGGAACACATATTTTGTTCCCTAGAAATCCCTAGAACGCGGCGTTTGCAGTCAGGTAGGCAAAGTTTATGTGTCAGTGATCTCAGAGTAACTGAACTGCAGCACTACGGTATAGTTATAGATGGGTTTCCCATTTCGCTCGTTTCCGTCGTCCATTAATTGATGGAAAGAACCCGGTGCCAGGGTGCATCTATACTTTGGTGGCCAGAAAGCGGACATTGTTTTCTTCCTTTCAACAACTAGTTAAGCTTGAGACCTGTCTCATCCTGTTTCAGGTCCAGACCACAGTAACCCAGGAAAAATCACGGTCCCAGTCGAACCGAACATGTTTTTGGTACGATCCACATCGATGAGTTCCTGTAAAGGTCAAACTGCTCTGTAAGCAAATCATTCGACTCACCAATGAAGGATGTCATTCGCTGTTCGATGGCGTTGCCCAATGTCGGTTGCTCGGGCGCCGGTGCCCTTTTCTCCTCCCCGCGTCGCACGCGCCGTTGTTGGCAGGACCTCAAGCCCGACAATGTGCTCTATGCCACTAAGGCTGACTTGGGAGGGCTCCATCAGACCTCAGTGCGACTCCTCGGCGGGTTGGAGGACTGCGGAGGCTTTCACGTTGTTTCCCTGCCAGGGTGGGACCTTCTAGGTGCCACGGAGGCTTTTGGCGCAAGAGGTGAAGAGCACTTGCAAGTTCCCCAGTGTTTTCAACAAACTTTAGTCAACTTTAGTCCTTCCCTCCTGTTCACTGGTGTGACCAGGCGCCAGACAGTGCAGTGAAGGCCTGGAAGTCCGGCTTGCCGCGATTGCGATGGGTAGTATATGGCTGTGAGTCAACACCCGGATGCCAACGGGTTGACCTCTTGTAGGGTCGTCCGTTCTGTTCATTTTCTCTGGTCAACCGTAGCCGGGTGCCATGACCCACACCCATGTAAAGATATGTAAAGATCGTTTCCGGCTGGCTTGACCGATCTCAATCTGTTTGGGCGAACATGGTGAGTCGGCACTGTGGCCATCCTTGGCCGAACCAAGTGCAGACTTGGTTCCGCGAAGCGTTGAATCATCCGCACTGGTGTCTGGCAGAATTTGCAGTTTTTGGGTCCCATCGTGCCAGATTGAGTTGCATCGCAGAAACACAATGATTGCTTAGGTGTTGGACAATGGCTACTTGGAACTTGGAACAGTGGAGTGGAATACTGAAGACTTGCTGTCCGAGGGTTCTACCAAGTTGACAAACGATAAGATGATAAGACCTTTGCCGCAAGACGTGGCGAGAGGGTTCATGAGTGGTGAACTCTGTATATTTTCTGGCCATGATCGAACACAACCGAAGCAAAAGACATGCCTTTTCGGGCCATCTAAGAAAAATGCAACTTTTTTACTTCTTCCAAAGACTCATCAGCAACAGGGCCCTGTGCACCCTTTGATCGGCCCTTTTTCTGTGCGTGGAGGTGATTGACTTTGGGCTTGCAGACTTCCTCCAACGCGTGGAGTCCCGGTGTGGAGTCGATCCGGTGTGGAGTCGATCTGGTGGTTTCAATTCGAATTATATTCCAATGAATTATTGTTTCTAATGGCTTCGTAGCGTCCTAGTATGGCCAGGAGCCCCATTCTAATGGCGTCCTTGTTTGGAATTGAGAACTCTTCCACATCCGGTGAGGGAAATCCCCAACAGCTGCTGCAAGAGATTTTGGTCATTTTTAGTCAATATATGTCAATATCAATATATTGGCTGTGGCGGCTGTGGGTAAAACACCGGGGCACCCTGGGCCAGACCCTGGATCAAATGAACAGATTCCTCTAATTATAAGATATTATAAGGGATATCAACCTTCCATGGTGTGGTGGGTGAGGTTTTGACCCACAGTCTATATACTGTTAGTTTATGTTTTTAATATTTCTATTTGTGTAGCCCCGCTCATCCATATAGCTGCCCTGCTCTTGTGCTGCTTCTAAAGACCTCCTGGGTTTCTTCTTTCCGCTGCTGTGCTCAAAGCCTGTGCTGCTGACTCTGAACCCTGCTCAAAGTGTTTTCTAGATGGTTGAAGGGTCAGCTGCTCAGTGGCATACACAGTTGAATCGAAACGATTCGAACCTGGACACCAGAATCCTTTATATAAACTCTCCAGGGTTTCGTGCCCTTTGACCAAGCGGTGCGCAGCACAACACATTCGGGCATATGTATGTATATGTCGCTTTGAATACAAAAACGCTCTTAGCATTCTTCAGCTTGTATGTTAGCCACACTTTATTTTGCTCTATAAGTCAGCAGCCTCAAAATCCACCCGGTTCAGCATCCTCTCAGCTTGCCGCGCTGCCGGCGCATGCGCTATGCACCAAGGCCTGCGTGCTGTGGCCGGAGGGAAAGCCATGGAGAGAGTTCGGGGTGCCCGGCCGCGGCCGCGGCGGTTTCGGTTTGGGCGCGCCAGGGTCCTGAGGACGACACAATTGGAGCCTGAAAAGCCGAGGTTTGCCTACGAAAAGGGCTCCTTTACAGGTGCCTATAGCCTCAAGAAAGGTTAAAGTCAAAGGGGTGTCCATGAACTACCCCAACCTGATGTCCCTGTAAAGGAGCATCAATCGTTCAGAGCGCCATTTCTGTTTTGCGTCCTGGTGTTCGGCGGTGGTGAGGTCCGGGCTTGTCCGAAGGCCAGGTAAGCAGGTATATATATATAGTTTGTTATTGTGCTGGGTCATGATGGGTATAACTTATTATAACATTTACAATGACATGTTGAGGACAAAGGCTCCGAAGATGAATCAACCACCAGTCTATAAACCACATGATAGTTCTCAACACAGCCTCACCCCTGTCCCAAGGCTGGTGGCCAATACATGTCGAGATGTAGACCTAGCCAGGTCAATTTCACTCCACCCTGGCTGCACCTAAGTCTTCAAAATCTCCATGATCCTCTTCCGGGGTAGTGAGAAATGAGTTTCAACGCCGAAACATATCCAAAACAAAATACTTGCAACTTGCATTTGCTGCTGTAACCAAGATTCTCCTGTAACCAAAGCCGGGGAGTGTGAAGATCTCGGAAGTTGGCTTTCCTTCGGTCCAAGAAGGAGGGGTGGTCTACCCGTTGTGCAGTTCAGTTCAGTCTACAGGTTGCGCCAAGTTTTTTCTCGTAGATCATAAGGTTTCTTCGTTGTTTGTTTGCATCCCCTTTCAAATGCTTCCGAGGCGGGGACATTGGCATTCATGGTGCGAGCCTCAAGCCTACGTAGGCTCACTTCACGGAGATGGATGACAGGACAAGGCCGACCCCACAAATTGGGCTGGAAACATCGTAAGAGCGGTCGGGGAGTGCAAAGCTACACATACCCCTTAATCTACAAAGAAAAGGGGCGCTGACCCCGGGCCGTAAAATTCCTTTTGTGATATGCATAACCGGCATGACCCATAGTAAATTACATTATACTGATGTATACTGTATATATTTTGCATATCCATGTACCAAACCGCTATATAATGAAATGCATATGTGTAATCGCTTGCATTTGCTGCCCACTTCAAACGTAACATGTCCAAAATGCTTCAGAAAGTGCAAATGTGGTATCACCAGTATACACTGTATCTACTTCCCACTGGAAAAAACAACATAACCAAAACAATCAATAATCCAAACAAAAAGACAATCACAAAACCACAAACATACAATATTATGAGACTCTTTGCTGCCACACTCCCCAAGAAACTTTTGGAATATTGATACATATTGTTTCCATTTTTGTTTGATTTTTGGTGTGAGGCTGGGCATGCACAGACCTGCACTCCATGGAGAGCTCTAGCCCAGGTTTGGGATCTGACCTCAAGCCTAAGTCTTGGAAGTGTGCATGTTCCTTTGGAATCCTTTTGGATTCTGGTTGATTCCCCGTTGACAACAATTGAACGCCATTTGATTTCCTGTTAAATTCGTTTTGATTCCGATTTTGACTTCCTATTAATCTCTTAGTGTTTTAGTGACATTCTTTTAGATTCTTTATTACACCTTTTCAAGTTATTGCAACATTGGAAAAAGGAGAGTTGGAGGTCGGAGACAGCAGTGGCGTCATTTCACACATATAATAAGTTAATAAGCATGGTGGGGACAATTTGAC